TTTGGGCAATCGGGATCAGTAGATCTTTTACTGGGACATAAGTATTTATCATTAAACCCATAAGTTCGTTCCCATTTAAGATTACCACTTACATTCCAAAGTCTTCCACTACCCGAAATCGCCTTACATGCATCAAATAGTAGAATACCCGCGGAATGTATGGTGCTTATCACAGTCCTATTTATTAATGTCTCCTGGGAGTTACTATTCCGAATTACCAACCAAATTGTACGGGGTTGGAAATGGGGATCAAAACATTTAGACTCTCCTGATATTGGCTTGCACACACTATAATCAATATCCAAATATCTACATTTAGATACAGATCCCTTACATTCATACTGTGAGTGCCAGATGAAAGTTTGGGATATTTGGTTACCTGTTTTAGTAGTCTTAATGCAACTATCGCAATTCGGTATGTCTGTACTCCTACCTTCCTGAAAAATCATAAAAATACTAAGACACAATAAAACACATTAATCCTGAAATCCTCATTTTTCTTCAACCGTGCGATGGCCTCTCAGCTTCCCGATTGTGAGGGCTGCAAGGATGTTGTTCTTCTGATCCTCACTTTCCTTCACAGAGATCCCTTCAAGATACTCTGGCTATGACACGTAGGCAGGTGGTCAGGCTTTATTATGGCCGTCAAAACACCTACTTGATGATCTTTGTAGACTTTTAACTAGAATGTCTCGATATCCCCTCGTCACTCCGAATGAGTTGCACGCTTCAACCGGGTCCTGCAAGGATTCTCAGGATCTGGAGGAGCTTGCCAAGAGTCTGCTGCTGGTTTAACCTTAGAATGATGAATCCAAGGAGTCACTTCCGCCACCTTTACAGCTGTTGGGGTAGATAAAAGAACAACATACAAAGGCTAACAGGATACACCCAAGCTTTAACTCAATATGTATTGGTGGGATATTACGAGCAAGTCCTGGAGGATTATTTTCTTCCCATACTCCTGGAATGTCAAGTAAGGATTCATCACTCTTAGGGTTAACACTTGTCACTATGGAATAGAAGCGTCATTCTTCTTCCCTTGGCACCGATATCACCATTATGCCTGGTAATCCCTTAAACTTCAGAGATGTTAATCCATTAGGTAAAAGGTTATCTGAGTTTAAAGCTTCGATAATAGATCTCGTCCTAAAAGTTGAATCGGACACTCTGGCATATATAGGAACTAATGCTTCACCACATGGCCTCCCAGAATACAAGTGCGACTCTTAAGAACCGGTCTAGCTGCACTTCTCCCAGTAGCTCCTATCACAGTTATAGTCTTCCCCGAAGGCGGAGCCACCATCTTAGTCACCACAGAATGTTCAGCACCTGTGTCGATCATGAAAGAACTTCTCTTTCCCCCTATTGCTACATCGACCATAGGCTCCGCTCGACCAAGTGGGATGGAGCCCAGTCGGTATCAATAGTCTTCCATGATAGTGTCAGCCAGACCCACAAAATCTCTATCCTCTCTTTCTCTAGGTCTCTGCGTGGGTGGATAGTATCTGTCTCCTTGAACACTTCCTCTACTATTCCCATCATTCCCTCTAAAACTTCCTCTTACTCTATAACTACCACTATAACCTCCTCGTACCCTTCTCTCTCCTTGTCTATCACCTTCATACTGCTCTCTCTGTGGACACTCACTCTTCCAATGTCCCTCCTTTCTACAATACGCACATTAATTCCTACTTAAAGTCCCTTGCTCAGCCTATTCTCGTCTCCTCTATTCACTTCCCTGTCTTTCTACACTTAAGATAGCTACCGCTAGCATATCTGCCTTTTTCCTCATTTTACGTTCTTCCTCCATCTCCCTATTCATATATACTGTATTTGCAATCTCCATTAGCTGTATTATGGACATCCCTACAAATCCCTCTAATTTTCTTTAATTTCCTTTTACTATCACCTTGGGCCTGGCTGACAAATGCTGAGTCTATCATTCGGAAGTTTTCAGGGGCCTCTGGATTAAAGGGAGTATACAACCTATTTGACTCAAGCAGTGTCTAATATGGGACTTCGGCAAGGCTGCCCAATAATAGGTTCCAGTCTAGGAGTAGTAAGATAATTTTATTAGTCAGCATTTGGTGGATGAAAAAACGTTTTTTTTTTTGTTTGTTTGTTTTAAAGTGTTAAACCAAAAACCTACCAGTAGGTGTCACCAGAGGGTAATTGTATCAAAATAATCTTTATGGGTCTAATAAGAAAACTCAACTTTTAATATATTTATACATAAAATAAAACCTTATAGCAATAAATATATTAAAATAGGTTAAGCAATCCTACATCTATCTGTTATAAACAATGTATTATCAATGTAACTCCCGAAGATGGCCAGTAGGTGGCTTAGAGTGCCTCCCTAAAGTCAAATGGAACAAATAGACTTTAATTAATTATGTCCTATTTTATTATTACTTATTTTAATCAATGTCCACCCTGCTAGCTAGGCTTGATTAAATCTTTAGTTCTAAGGTAAATTAAACATTTCAGTTTGTAGTTTAGTAAAAGGGGACATTTTGGACAAAGCTGGGAGGGGCCCATCCAGTAACTAAAAAAAAACAATATACCATCTGATACCATTGATCATTGATTAGGGGGAGGGGTAGTACAGAAATACAAGAGTTTGAAACACAGGAACAGATAGGTATGTGGGTAGGCGGGGACAGTAGAGCAGGGGGAGTGCAAATACTGATTATACCAGCCAGAAATGGGCGTGGCTAATCTGGCTCTGGAGGATGTTTGGGGGGTTGGTAATCAGATGCCAGGGGGGGGGGAGGGGATGTCCAAAGCAGTTGTAATTAAGTCCTTAGTTCTGACCACCATGTGGCTACATTGTTTCCCATATGACACAGTTTAATTCACCAAGGCAACAATCAGTTTCCAACAGTCAATATATAGAAACTGATCATAGAATTCCAGCCTACTAGTTACAGCCACATGTACACTCTGCACTAAATTTAAGTGAAGACTGCTACATGGAGGCCATGCGGCCACCAGGACAAGCTACTCCCTACTTTTTTTTTTTTTTTTTAAACATACAAGACAAAAGACTAACAGCCAAGTGAATCAGATTATTTCAACAGAACGTCTGATTCAAAAAGCTGTACAAATATACACACAGTTTCAACAGTCACACCAATCTCCTTATCACCAGCAACACATTGCGCAGTCACTAGGCCCAAACACACACACAGGATCCTCACATGCTCAACAATATCACGACGTCGCACACACAAAATTAAATCAAAAACCCACCAAAGACTATACACTTATCAATGTAACTATTATTCAAACCATACAACTATCCACGCTATTAATCCATATAAACTAACCGATCACATAACATTTCAACAAATTCATCTCTACAATTATCTGTACTATAAATCAACTTTTGACTAACCAACTATATCACATTCTAGTAACCTCATCTTTACAGTCAGTGGTTATGGTACAGTTAGTAAGTGATTATAATACAGTTTTAAAGTCACAGATCAGTTAGTAACAGTTATGGTATTATACATATAACATAAAACAGCAATTGTTAGTAATTTTTACACAATGTCAGTGGTTATGGTACATGTCAGTAGTTATGGTACCGTGCGCTATTTTACAGTTATACACACAATTTACACTCCCACTAGACAGCAGAGCTCTAACTTTCTAGTAGGACATACAAGTTAACCAATTCACCAACTACAATATATTTAACAACATTTACAATAATCCCAACTAAACTATTGGCCAGTACCTTGAATAGACTACCTAAAACTATATACACCCGTTTTGGTTAGCCACACTGCCCAAGCACCACATATAGCGAACTAGAGGGCGGAAATTGCCCTTCTAGTCTATTTACTCTATCAAAAGTCTAGTGGGTTCCAAATTTACACGCCTTCCCACTTAGCCAAGATAGGTTGAGAGCTAGCGAACCGAATTTACACAGGCGCCGCTTAGTCTCCCGGTCCCTCCGACCTAGCGAACGTAATATACACCCTAGAACGCTAGTCTAGACAAGACACCGGTGTCCGGCTAGGGCTATTTACACAGGACCCCGCCTGACTAACCAGATCAAACGGTCTTACTAAAGAGCGTTCGATCGAGCGGTGCGCCTTCGCTCCTTCCCTCCGACAGAGGGGGCAGATTCCATACACAGATTTAAACCCCTTTTGGGCCTACCGCACAATCGGTATACCCCTAGTGGGTCTGCCGTCTAAAACAGCAGTTGTCTTACCTCCTCGTTCCTGAACCTGAGTTCACACTCATCGACGGGGACACCCCAGCACTTCTTACGTAGAGGCCGATGATCTCCTGGACAACAGACCAGTGGCGCCGAGACGAAGGGAGGTCCACGCAGAAGTTCAGGGGTGCAGCCGTAGAGAACGTGGGCAAAGATAGACCGTCTCACGCCTCTGCCTCTCAGCTACCGTTGAACGATGAGCTTCCCGGCCAATGCACCAAATGATACCGGAGAAACTGACGGAAGCAAAGCACAGAGGGATGGACACAGGTTTCTTCAGGAAGGAAGAGATTCTTTATTGGATCACCGATCGGGACTCAGAGGGACTAATGTCACCAAAAATACAGCAAGTTCTGAGCCCTGAACAATAGTGCAGGCTCCCTATATAGGCACATAACTCCTCCCATTAATAGCTACACCCACATATACCTTTAACCAATCAATGAGCAGAATATAGACTTGTACATCTAGTCAAACCACATGGCCCATCCAAGACAAAGGAAATAAGTGCAATTTCAGTTCCTGCATTCCTGCACATGCTCAGTACACTGATGACAGTATCCTAGCTACATGTAGCTAACCAACTGACACAACATACACATATGCCACATGGAGATTTTGGCCTAATAAATTTTAACCATGCTGGAATCCCATCACATATCTATATGGTATATTTCCCTACTCACAAAGCTTGTTGTGGGGTTTGTTTTTTCGCCTTTTTCATAAATTCTGAAACGTAAAGATGTGTATATTTAAGAGGAATGTTTCCAGTTCCAGTATCTGACAATTTTATGCTATAACTGTGTAGTTCATTATTCGGAATGTGAATGAAAACGATATCAGTTGTGCTTTGAGAATTGCAAGACATTCTTATTTTGGTGTAACTTGCAATAACCAAATGTTGTTGTTTTGGTATTGGGTTTTTCTTTTTCTGCATTAAAAGGAAAATGATACAAACTGTATGAACAAAATGATTCCGTCAGTGTCTGTATAACCTATGCTAATCGTGTGTGTGTATATATTTCAAATCAAAGTTGTCATAGTGACACAAAAAATGCAAACTGGAAGTCAAACTTTTCTACTACTGAGAAGACCTACCCATATCAGCAGCACTTGCTTACAAGCTGATTCGAGTGAGAAAAGCTATGTCTGCTACCACACCATGTAGAGACTACCTGGTTTCAGCTGCTGACTTTCCATCCTCTCTTCTAACTATGCATGGTCAAACAGTCATTGCTAGATCTCTTTTGCATTTACCAAGAGGAGTGCAGCCGGGGTGACTTGTATCACACCTCCCCTATATTATCAGATGCCACGTTCCCCTTGATCATATTCCAGGATGTCATGCAAGAGCATACATGCTTGGGCACTCCAGTTGTGGTGTAGTACACACACATGCCCCCGCTGCACTTCTCACACCGCAGCATTGTGGTGCTGTTCCCAAGCATGTAATGTAACTGAAATGGTTTTTAGTTTAAGAAGAAGAAAAAATGCTGTCATGAGGTGGCATGAAGCAAAGATGTTTAATAGCACTGCATGTGATCGCTTCCTTTTTTTCCCCACCATCTACTTCATAAGTGACAGGGTGGGAGGTGGTGAACACTGGATCCTAGTGAAGATATCACTTTGAGCACAGGCATTCATTGTAGGGGAGGTGGAGAAAATGCATGTTATTTATTTTCATAGTTTAGATATGTGGTATATCTGTGTAGGCAGTGGATTATAAATATATTGGCTGGCATCTGTAGCATTTAATAACGTTGTTTACATTGTTTAGTGAAGCCACTGAAAAGGGGAAACAAAATCTTTTGGGCATTGATTTAGTATAATGGTATTTATTGAAACTTCATTTTTTTTTTTATAACACATGATGATGTACTTGTAGTGAATGTATAGTGGTATCTATCTGTGCATCTGTTAATCTTCCAAAGCACTGCTATCAGTTAGAATTCTGTTTTTGCAGCTCTTTGACGGTAATGGCTGTCTGTCCTACAAGTTTTTGGGGGGGTTTTCAGGACGTTGAGAATGGCTGCTGTCCTATGTAATTTGTTTGTTTTCATAATCAACTTAGCTTTTTTTGAAGGTTTATTAAAATATTCAAAGCTGTATCTTATCTAGAATTTTCAGAGTACCCTGCCATGGTAGTTCTGGGTACCCATACAACCAGAAAACTGTGGGAAAAGATTAAAATGTGACTCCAAATACAAAGTGTTTATCTGTTAAACTGCTGAGTGTAATCTTAAGACAGGGTGGCTCCTATTATGCTGCACTCTTTCTTTACCTCCGCAGCAAAGAAAAATAACATTAAAGCAGTATAAAAGAAACCAGTAAATAACATAAGGTATATCTTCCTAGCAACAGGAAAAGCCAATCAGCATCCTCTTTATAGCATAATGGGCAGTGTCCAGTATACTACTTCCTCTTTCTTTGCTGCTACCTCAGTTAAGTGACACTGGGTCCCATGGTTCTTAACTGTGGGGTCTTTTACTTTACTTTACTTCATATCATTACTGTGGTTATTATAGTTCTTATATTTATAAACGTGAAAATATGTTAATTAAAATGTTTTTAGTTCATTTTAACTTAATTTGATTTATTTCATTTGCTTCAGTTATTTGCTTTATTGTATTTGCTTTGATAATTTCTTTCCCCTCAAGATTACCATCAATTGGGGCTCAGGGACATCTTTGAGGATCTTTATCCCCCGCACAGGGCCATTGTGCTGTTTTTTTTTTGTTTGTTTTTTTCCTTCATGTATCTGTCTGGCTGTTGCTCTGCCAGAAACCCAAGTTGGGGTTTAGTGGTAGTGGCAGGCGGCCAGTTCCTGTGTTTTTTTGTTTGTTTGTTTGTTTGTTTTTTTTTGGTTGGTTGGTTGGTTTTGTTTTTTTTTTGTTTTTTTATATTACAATTGTTATCTTTTCACTATTGTCAGTACTTTAATTTATCTATCCTGTTTAGTTATTTTTTACTTGAGGGTTACTCAACCCTTTCCTTTTAGTATTATTTTACTTTATTCATCCCTTTAGGTTTGTTTGTATATTTATGATGCAGTCTGACAGGATCTTTCTGTGCCTTCTGGATCTACAGCAAACTTGCAGATTAATGTAAAAGCCTCTCCAGGTATCTCTGGAGATGAGGCTGAATTTCTGCTTTACTGATCCTGCTGACATGCAGGCTTTAATTGACACTTCCATGGCAAAAGCAATGACAAGACCCTGGTGTCAGGCCACAATGCCTCAAATAAGGCTAAAAACACTCCTCCAAAACAATAGAGATGAACAGTACCATACCTGTCACGGATTAATTTACCACTGCGCAAAAGAGCTACTAGTCGGGCAAAATCGACTAGACTTTGGAAAAGGGCAAATGCCCAACTGAACTCTGAATCTGAGCTCAGTGATATTGAGGAGGAGTTCCCAGAGTCCTATAGGGAGGATTCAGAGGATATTACTGATGAGGATGCTTATCCCGTTTGGGATACACGTCCTGTTAAACCTACCAAGATTTAGGTCGATTATGCGGACTCAGGGACACCGATAGGATCTTGGACACTTAATGTGAACCCCCTATTCGAATCTGATGACATATGTCACCCAGTGGTATCCTCTGACCATCCAGCCAAGTATATTGCATCAAGAGTACACAAGCCTTTTGAGAAGGCAAAGTGAAATAAATTGCGGGCTGAATGGCCACACCGAAGAGTCCCTGATGACTCGTGTAAAACGCGATCAGTCGATCTTAAGATCATTCAATTCCTGAGTAAGACAGGATGGAAGCCCACTAAAGGCTTATATTTTCATTGCAAAACTGTCAGGATAAAATCCTGGGCATCTTGGGCTCAGCAGCCAAGATCTTTGAAGCAGTAGAGGATGACCTAGAATTAGATTGCGCCATCTTAAGTGGTTAGATCCAGAGAGTGATTTAAGTTGGCAACGCCAACAATGCGGTTGTCACAGAACGCCACAAATCGATCTTGCTTAAGATTGAGCCCAAACGTTTAACTATGGCTCTGAACGAGTCATAACACAGGCAAAAGGTTTTATCTTTGGGGACAACTTTTGTAAAAAAAAAAATCGGGCTCCTTTGTCCGGCTAAACAAACAGAAGTTCTTTTATACTTGCCGAGCCGATTTCTTTGAACAATGCACTATACCAACCTCCTTCCCACAAAGTGGTAGACCCTGGGTTGTTAGTGGCCTAAGAGGTGCTCCTAAGAAGTCTTCACAATTTACATTCTTCCTTACTGATAGTGGGGGGGCAGGCTCACACATTTTTCCCATGTATGGTCCCTCATTTCATCAGATACTTAGGTTCTTCACACTGTGAAAGGGTATTGCATAGACTTCCTTTCTCTAACTGTTCAATGTTCCCCATTGAGGGAAATTAGTTTTTTCCCAATGAGACGCAGACCATCTGTCTCCGTGGACAATCAATCGTAGAGATTCCGGCCCGTACCCTGGGTTATGTGAGCAACCTTTTCTTGTTTCCCAAAAAAGCATAGATATCCGCCCAGTGATAAATTTGAGACCGCTCAATAGTTATGAGCATATCAGCACTTCCAAGATGGAAGGTGGGCATTGTTTAAGGGATCTTCTCCAACTAGCAGATTGGATGGCCAAATTGGATCTGCAGGATGCATTGTCTATCGCAGTACAACATCAAGATTGAGAACTTCCTGCAATTTACATGGTAGGGCAGTAAATAGAGGTTCGGGTGCCTCCCATTCGGACTGTCTTCGGCTCCATGGTGCTTCACCAAGCTCACGTCTTGTAATATATTTAGAAGGCATTTTCATTCTGGCTCAGTCTATTCAATTAATCCGGACATACATTGCATGGACGTTGACTCTGTTAGAGAACCTAGGCTTCCTGATCAATTGGGAGAAATCCATTATCATTCCCACGCAACAAATCAAATTTCTGGGTTATATTGGATTATTGTAGATTCTACCCTTCAAACTCTACACCTTACGGTGGCAAAATTAGCCAATATCAAGGAGATAGGCGAACACTAGCAACCTCTCAACTCTCTCTCAAACAACTGTTAAGAATGTTAGGCCTTCTAGCTGTATCTATACAGGCAATTTTTCCAGGTCTTCTTGGCTATCGAGCCCTGCAATGATTACAAACTTCCTCTCAAGGGCAGCGCATCATACATAGATATGGTAACTCTGGACTCGGAAGCGGAGGATGAACTCCAATGGTGGCTTCTTCACATGGAAGCTTGGAATGAGCGCACCATATTTTGTACAGCTCCAGATTTGATAATCAAATCCGACGCAAGTTTGCACGGTTGGGGTGCTCAATGCGGAAATATTTCCACCAAGGGCAGATAATCAAACCTGGAATCAACACTCCACATCAATTGTTTGGAAAATCTGTCTGGTTCCTTTGCAGTCCACAGTTTCTCCCCAACTCAAACCCAATGCGCTATCCTTCTGAAGATGGACAATGTGTCAGCAGTCCGCTACATCAATCACTTGGAGGCACAAAATACAATATTCTGACCTACATGCTACGTGATTTCTGGCAATTTTACCTGATACACGGTATTTCAGTCACGGCAGAATATATTAAAGGTCTCTCCAACACTACGGCGGACTGGTATTCACATCAACTCCCCAACTTATCAAGGGTGCACCCAACACGAGACAAGCTTATAAACCGGCTTGGAGCAGATGGCATAGCTGGTGCATGAAATTAAATTTAAATCTCATATCGGCTCCTTTTATGTCTGTCCTCCATTTTTCTGACTTCTATGATGAAGGTACAGCCTATCGCACTGTGGATCTTACCGATCGTCCATTTCTGCTGGCCATCAAAGTTTTGATTGGACGCCTGTCTGTTGACATCCTGTCATATGTTGACTTCTCTGAGGAATATGGTTTGCTCATTCACCCTTACCACGATACTGTCTTGTGGGACGACTCTATTGTCTTGAAAAAAAAAAATTCTTGCAAGAGGCTTTTCTGATGTACGAGCTCTTGAGGTGGTTGCTCGTTCCTTTACTCCAGAAGGTGTCCTCTTGGACATTTCACCTAGGACACAAACCTCCTTAAAATAAGTTTTACCCAGTTTCCCCTGATGGATCTCTCCTTTGCCCTGTTACATACTAATGGGTGTGTGAACATCGTTCCACTACGTTACGGAATCCTTTGAAACAGGAATTCTTCATCACCTTCCAAAAGTCGTGTCTAGTCTATAGCCTGGTGGGTCAAATAAGTTATGTCTCTAGCAGGTATTGATACCTATGTGTCTGTGCCTCATTCGGTTCATGGGGCAATGGCTTCTAAGGCTTCCTCGATTGGTTGTCGCTTGGAGGATATTATGAGAGCTGCTGGTCTTCGGAGTCTACATTCCATGGTTTCTACTTTAGACCTATTCAACACTTCACAGGAGACATAATTTCACAGCTTTGAACTAGCATAATAGGAGCCTCCGTGTCTTAATAAAATGTACAGATTTTACTATTAACATGATGTAAAGTCATGATTTTATTAATGACACTGAGGGGAGTATTATCCCTCCTTCCCATCCCTGGAGGTTTGGTCTTCTCTGGGTAAGTTGACTTCATGGTAAGTCTTTTTTGGTTACCGGGTTTTATCCTTGTTAATGACTGTCAGGAGCTTAAGGTTTGACTAAACTGAATTTCATGTTATGTATATATATCTGATATTCCATGTAATGCGGATTTATGCATAAATCCAGTTTTATACTTGGATATTACTATATTCTCCTTTCTCTTCCAGCTTGACTTCGAGATCCAGTTTAAGGCTCGTATACCCTCTTATTGGAGCCCACTTTTTATTTGGATTTGTTGTCCTTGTTCGGGATTGCAAGAAAGAGGAAGTCGTATACAGGACACTGCCCTATTATGCCATAAAGAGGATGCTGATGGGCTGTTCCTGTTGCTAGGAAGATATACCTCATGTTATTTACTGGTTTCTTTTATACTGCTTTAATGTTTTTCTTTGCTGAGGTAAATAAAGAGTGCAGCATAATACTCGCCTCCGTGTCATTAATAAAATCATGACTTTACGTCATGTTAACAGTAAAATCTGTGTAAAAATTTTATATAGATTTTTAACTTATCTAATCTTCAACAATATGCATATGTCAATATACCGCAACCCGGAAGCTGCGTACTGACGTCTCCCCCTGTTGCCATGGTAACCCAATATCACTTCGGGCTCCATAGCTACTGGGGTAAACCTATCACAATATATGCCGGATCTATTTTACAACCCATCATTCAATCATATAGTTAAGTAATATAGTGACATATAATTCATTACTTGGTGCCGACTAGTTAATAAAGTGACTTAAAAGGACAATTTCTTAAGTACTGTTGATCTATTTAACAGATATTTATCACATCAAAAATTCATATTACCATATACCTTTGTGTATCTAGTAATTTTTAAGTAACATGTACGCTATCTATATACTCCAAAGTGTTTTTAAATTACTTTAAAGTGACACACATGCTTATATGTACAATAAAGTGCATCGGGGGATTTAAAGTGACCAGTGTGCTTTTATATACATCAAAGTGCATAAAAGTGAATTAAAGGGACACACTAGTCACCAGAACAACTACAGCTTATTGGATTTGTTCTGGTGAGTAGAATCATTACCTCCAGGCTTTTTGCTGTAAACACTGTCTTTTCAGAGAAAATGCAGTGTTTACATTACAGCTTAGTGATAACTTCACTGGCCACTCCTAAGATGGCTGTTTGAGATCCTTCCTGGGTCATGGATGCCTAAAATGCATCCAAACATTCCGTGTCTCCGCCACACTGAACTTTCCTCATAGAGATTCATTGATTCAATTCATCTCTATGAGGAGATGCTGATTGGCCAGGGCTGTGTTTGAATCATGCTGGCTCTGCCCCTGATCTACATCTTTCTCAGTCTCAGAAAATCCTATGGGAAAGCACTGTGAGTGGATCAGGCTACCCCTTCTGATGATGTCAGCAGACTGCTTGTTTTTCTGAGGCAAACAGCATGCAGAGTTATAGCTTCTGGCTTGAATACAGTAAGATTTTGCTATATTTATGGATGCATGAGGGGCCCAGGGGAGCTAGATGGTGGTTTTAACCCTATAGGGTCAGGAATACATGTTTGTGTTCCTGACCCTATAGTGATCCTTTAAAGTAATTTTTGACCATGTACAATATGATGCACCCTATTTACTAAGGTGCTATATCTAACGGTGTCTTTAGGTTAAATAACTTGAAATAACATGTATTCTACCTGCATGTAATAAAGTGCCTTTATATTTCTGTAAAGTGACATATATAATAAAGTGCATAAAAATGCAAAGTGACTTACATAGCTATTATATACTTGAAAGTGCTTACAAGTTAACTTAGTGATATATGTGCAATTATGTACATCAAAGTGCTTTCTTTTAACTTAAAGTGCCATACATGCCTATGTACATCAAAGTGCATCTAAATTTGATATAAAGTGCCTTCTGCTCTTTGTACGTATATGTGTGTGTGTATATATATGTATGTATGTATATATATATATATATAAAATAACGTTCTTAATTAAATTTATGGGTACTTGCATAAATCTAAGCAACATAACACCATATCTACACCTCTAACTATTATTCATATAGGTCACAATTATATCACTAAATTAGTTCCATACATACCCTCACTCAAGACTTAGAGTATTATACATATAAACAATATACCATTTAAATTTATACTATTACAATTATTTTTGATATTCGAGGCCAGCAATCTTCTTAATGTTCAAATAAACGGATGAGATGATATAATTTCATTTAAACCTCTGGGTGCAACTATTCAATTCTTGTATCCAAAATATCTCTTCTTAGCAACAAATGTCCTGTCTCCTCCCCTTCTTGACAATGGTACATGATCTATAGCCACACATTTCAATGCGGTGAGTAGATGTTTGTATTCTAAAAAAAATGTTTCGCCATCAGTTTGTCCATCCCTGTATGCTGCTCTTATATTTGACCTATGTCTCCTGATTCGATCACATAGTTGTTTCAGTTTTTCCAATGTAAACTAAACCACAAGGGTTTTGATCATTTATGACAAAAATAAGTGCTAGGCTAGCAAAACATTAGTGAAAGCGATATATAAGACCGTTTATGCACTTAGAGTAAGTTCAGCTGTATATAATGAATAGGTAATAAGACAATTAGTTTAGCAGATACTAGGGATAAATATTATAGGAGTCATTCCCTTGGAGTGAGCAAGTCCCCTTTCAGGCCTGGTTTCATCCAATGCCGATTCTGCAGGGTCTCAGATACCGTGTGTAAGTCCATCAGGGTCTGGACCAGGCTAAGGTGTAAAGCGTTGCACTCTGTGAACCCTCAGAACAACCTCTGTGCTGTGGCAATGTACCTTCACCTAGTGGGAAAGAGAGGGGAGAGCATACGCCAGTCGTGTGCTCCCTTGCCTGGCTTCGATTTAATTGCTTTTCTCGGCTGATAGGAGTGCTGGTGTGAACTTGGACTGTGAGGGCACAGTCTCGTCCGCCCCTCTGCGTGTGCTGGTAATCCAGCTGATTCGTTATTTGCAACCGGTGTATGGTTGTTTAGAGGCACCTGACCTGGAGCCCGAGCCGCTTGAGGGGGGGCAGAGTGCTCTGAGGCTGCTCACGGGGTGGATTACCGCCTGGCTTCTGCGAGGAAGATGCTTGCAGTCGGTTTAATTTCGGCCAGAAGTCTGCAAAAATCTTGTCTAGCATGGTCGATTGCGAGGCCTGAATGCTGGACTGCGATGGGCACATGCCATGTGCCATCTTGGATAGGTAGCTGTGTTTTCTGCCTAGTTAGGCTGCACAGCAGGGCACACCAGGCTGCAGATTGATCAGTCTGTTCTCCGGGAGCATGTCCGCACAAATTTAAGTTGTCTCTTTATATTGAGATCGGGTACCGCTAGATAAGGTTAGATGTCGTAGTGAATTGGTTCAGTCATGTTTGTAGAACTAAAAGCTCAATTGAGTTTCCAAAAATGTATGTGTGTGTGTGTGTGTATATATATATATATATATATGTGTGTGTGTGTGTGTGTATATATGTATGTATATCACAAGATCCAGAGCATTCACCTATCCACTAAACAGCAACTTCAATGTTGAAAGATTTTATTTTTTAAAAACATCTAATCTAGGCATAAATAATGGGGGTTTAGTTACTTATGCAATGTATGATCATATAATGTAACTAAACCCCCATTATTTATGCCTAGATTAGGTGTTTTAAAAAAATTTAATTTTCAACATTGAAGTTGCGGTTTAGTGGATAGGTGAGTGCTCTGGATCTTGTGTATTGTATTATTTGGCCCCCAGCAGCACCCCCATTTATGCATGTTCAGGTGAGTGCAGCTAACCCACTCTTGATAGATAGATATATAGATATAGATAGATATATAGATATAGATAGATATATAGATATAGATAGATATATAGATATAGATAGATATAGAGATATAGATAGATATAGAGATATAGATAGATATAGAGATATATATATATATATATATATATATATATATATATATATATATATATAGAGAGAGATATATATAGAGATATATATATATATATATATATATATAATTTTTTTTTATTTTTATTTTTTTTTTATGATATTTATGATATTCAAACAGGGTGATTAAAGATTGAATTTTTGGGAATTCAAATGTTAAGGTCAAAATTGACAAACAGGAAAAATTCTCCCGGTCCACTAATTTGGCCTTAAATTTGAACTTTAAATCCTCGCTTAAGTGAATAGCACTGCTTATTTGTTAGATCACGTTAACCTTTTCATCTTGAAGTGGCATTAGGAGCCTGGAGTCCCCTGTACTATCCCTCCATTTGGTATTGGAGAGTGTAACCGACCTCTCACAAACCAGCCCCCTTTGTTTCAGGCAACCTAATACAAATTCTGTGCAAAGATTACACAGCCAACACTTCAGCAAGCTGTTTTTCGCACCACAGGAAATCTCTGCTTCTTCGGCCTCCTTTTCTCGTCTCTAAGCTTACTTCCTACATTAATAGGTGGGAAGGGGGGGAATTATCCTTCCAAATGCTTTTCTTTAACCCTTTAAGGACACATGACATGTGACATGTCCTGATTCCCTTTTATTCCAGAAGTGTGTGTGTGTGTGTGTGTGTGTATATATATAATTTTTTTTTTTTTTTTATTCACTTTGAATGCTTTCTTAGCCGTTTTTTACTCCACTTTACTTTTTCATAAAAACCTGTAGTAGTTATGGTGCTTGGAGTGGACTTTGTTATCTTTATCTTTTAAAAGATTGCGATGTCTTAACTGCTTCCTATGAACACAAAGTAAAGTGTGGTCTTGGAGTGTGTGTAAGATGTCATCGGTCAGGTGTGAAGAGAGGCTGCCTGTTTATGCTATAAATATCCATGAACAGAATGTGGATAGAAATTGCAGAGCTAAAATGGGAGAGGCACAGACATTGAACAAGAACAATCATTCTACTTTGTGTAAAATAGGTAGTTGCGTATTAATTGCAATGAGACAACTGCATCTTCAAAGCTATTTGAGAATGTATCCAACTTGAAATGTTTTAATAAATTGTTTACGATTTCTATATATATATATATATATATATATATATATATATATTTTCTATCTTTCCTCTCGTGTAGTTTTTCTCCTGCATGGAGCATGCAAAACTAGAATCCATAAACTGCTTGTGTGGCAATGAATCCTCATTAGGTCTCGGTATATATACTTTTGTTTGACCCTGCAATTTAACATTGCTGTTTTGCTAGTGGGGGTTAACAAGAGGAGACAGACAGATGCGGGTAGACACAGGAGGAGAAAACCAAATATTTAGTAGATATACTTTCGCAACAAAAAAAACACGCATGTATTTAAACATTTTTTTGCATAGCTTCAGGCTTGCTCTGTGTGGCTTTTGCAAGCTATCCCCACTTTCACAGAAACAGGGAAAAAGAAAGAAGCCTCTGTTTTGGAGCCTCGCGTGCAGATGCACATGATCGTGGCCTTCCAATGCTTCTTAATGAACTGTAGTACTGCTCATTGAGGAGGGAGGGCAGGCATGCGCATAACTGAAGCTGAAGAAAACGTCCAGGCTGCATGAGTGACAGACTGGAGGCTTTTTGGCTTCCACTTTAAGTGTCGATTTCTATTGAAACTTCTTCAAACTTTGTCATTTTAAAATATATTTTTTATCAGTACACTCCCAGTACTTAAACAAGCTGAATTGCCTTGTATCTGAACTGTGCCTATAACTTGCCTCATAAAATTCACTCCTATATACATGAATGCATTCACACAAAGCAACGTTATAAACAAACTGCAAAATTCAAACCATACTGCGACTAGAGCAAAACTCGATTGTTTTCAATTCTTTACAGTGAAAAACTGTTTTTTTTTCTTTTCCTAGAAAGGCAACCCTAGGCACCATCAAGCCATTCATTAATGATGGTGCCTTGACCAAGGCAAAGACTACACACTTCAAAAACTGGGTGGCTAACAGTGATAGACAAACTCTGCCACAGAGGGGACCTTAAAATTGAACAGCGCAACAGCGCCGGTTGACTCCAACCACTATAATCATTCCATTGAGATGAAGTGATTACAGTGCCTAAATTGTAACTTCAAACAAGTATTTCTAACCATCTGCCAAATTCCTTACCAAAGCAGATGAAAAGCAGCAGGTTTAGTTTTTGTCTGTCATAAATCGTTGACCCCAAATTACTTATTCGGAAGTGTACATTTCTTATGGTCTTTCGTCTTTTCTGCAGACAGTGGTAAGTTACAGGAAGTTGCACTTGCTGTGTGGATAACCATTGAATTCAATTCTCTTCCAAAGAAGCAGTTTGCTGTCTGTTTTTCTCTGGTCTCTCACCCTCCTTAGTGGGAGGCGGAGTTATGGAACATGTGTTGCTGAAAACCCAAATCAGGACTCTTATTTACAAGATGCTATATCAGATGAATGGCTGCTTTCAGCTGTCTGTAATGTCTAGCCTACAGCTCGGACAGCTTGCCCGCTTACGTTTGTGATTTGTTTTGTACTTTTTATCATGCAGTGATTTTCCAACAAGGATCTGCCCAGTTATATACAGAAGTTGAGCAGCCATTGAATGCCTAGATTCTGCTGATTGAATTCCTCTCGCTCCTCTCTGGTTTATCAGTTTCTGCATATTTGCGAACGATAGGGGCCACATTCAAGGGAGGTGGAATGTAAATGCACTACAGAGCGCCTGTAACCAGTGTTGGTCACTTCACTCGCAGGACTGGATAAACTGGGAAATTGTGTGGGACTGCAGTTTTACCACCGAGCTTGTTGTTTTACTACATTATGTGCTCCCCCCTCATCCCATTCTTTTTAAGCTTGGCCTACGTACTCTGCTCTCAACAAGTAACAGGTTGACTTTTCTATTCACCCCGTTGAGTCTGGAATTCATTTTTTAAAGGGCAGTCCCCTGAGACTATTCAAGCACTGCTTTAACTCTATGCCTGGAACAGGAAGTTTTCATCTTTATTATCTCTTGCTTGCTACAAAGTCTAAAATTTCTTAGTGGTTTTGGTGCTTGGCATGCCCCTTTAACTACCAAGTGAATACTTTATTTTATTTTTTTTTTTATTTATGAAATCTGGAAGCATGCGGATTAAAGAGATCTCTCTCCGTCAAGACCCAGATCTGCGAAAGGAATTGGCATTGTTGGCTCGTGGATGTGATTTTGTTTTACCTTCAAGATTCAAAAAGCGACTTAAGGCTTTTCAGCAGATCCAGGTTAGCGTACAGTGTTGGTGTCATGTTCATTTCCTAATTTTTGAGAAATTTGTAGTACTAACAATATTGTTCATTTTGTATTAAAATATTTTCTTATTAATCAGTGTTCATAATCCCTCCATTTGAAGATTTAAGTTATTTTTTTTTTTATTTTTTTTTTAAATCTATATAGTTTAGTTTCAGTCCTGAATGAATGGTAAGCACGTTTGTAAGACACTCTATATTCTTTTAATGCCTATAGTTCTAGAACTTGTTACAATATACCGTATGTGCTTTGGATCCCAAAGGCTACATTTACTGTTTGAGCCTATAATACCATCAGACATTCAGCTATATTAACAGTTATGGTACAGCCACCTGTTTTGATAATGATATGGGGGTGGGCTTGGCAGAAATCGACTTTGCTGTGTGGATAGACTTAAAAACAGACTTTAAAACTTAAGTTTGGCTTCAGACTTCGTTTCAGCCATCGCAATATTTGTGTTCTGGGGGATTTTTGCACTTGCAAGAATACAAAAATTGTATTTTATTTTTTTCCCCCCCTTCTCATGATGGGAACAATTGTTTAAACTTAAAAATCAGAATGTGTTGATTTATTATGCAAATATTGTGCATAATCTGTCTAAAAACTGACATGCAATACTAACATGTAAACCTGGTTTGCACGCAGAATTGATCCTACAGTATTCTCTCTAGCTAAGAGTGAAGTAACATCTGCAGCTCTTATTGGCTCTCAATCTTATGTATCACTTTGATTGGAGTACTTTAGCATTTCCCAAAACTCTTTACACTGCTACGGTGGATGTTATTCCTCTGTTCTAGGGGAGGGACACTTGACCTTTTTGATTATTTATAATATTCCCATATCTGAACACTCTACACCAAATACCTGTCTGCATCTTTTCTTTTGCTTTGTGTGTGTGTGTGTGTGTGTATATATATGTGTGTGTGTGTGTGTGTGTGTGTGTATATAGATATAGATATAGATATAGATATAGATATAGATAGATAGATATATATATATATATATATATATAATTACTGGAATTTGGCCTAGTTTGTGATTTTGTCCATCTGTTTAGGTGTGGTCAATGTGTTGCTGTATAATGTATATTAAGTTTCAGTTTACCCTTTAGCCATGCATCCCCAAATAAAATTTTCCCACAATTCTTACATTTCCTCCATGATCTTGCGATGCTTCCTGTCAGTATTCCTGAACGTCCTGTCACTTAGACAAGACGCCGGCGAAACTACCAAATTTCGTCCTTTCAGAATTAGAACAGTTTGTTCATTCATGTTATGACGCAATTCGCGACATTGTTCTGATTGGAATTTCAGTCTAATGAATGAAATTCCAATTTGTGCCGCGGCTGCATCTTGCAGCCACTTAGTAGATAACTCCCTAATTCCCACGGTATTAGGAAGCTATCTACCAAAAGGCTGACAGACCTAAATTGGTCTTTCAAAGTAAAGATTACTTGGTATTAGTAATACTCTATATCGGGAATAGGGGCATGTCTAATAAATCACGTTAAAAAAAAAAAAAAAAAATGTTAAACCTATAGTGCTGCGTGAGTGTGGGCTCTTAAACTGAACGGGGGGCCTATTGTCCTCCCCCTGGACCCCACCCATGAGCAGCAGTTGAGGGCCATAAATTATAATGGGGGGGGCGCACCTATTGTCTGGCCCTGAGCGGTGGGTGGGGGCCCTGAATTACAATAAAGGGGGGGCTATTGTCTAAGTGCAAATACTCCTTACCCCCAAGTGACTAGGGGTCTCCTTTTTTTCTAAAATCTTTTTATTTTTTTCAGCCCCAAAAAGGCCAAATAAAAATCCACAATACCCATCGAACTTTTGTAAATAAAATAAAACCTGAGTGCAAAAAAAGTAATTCGTCGTCACCCATAAAGGGCACTGCGCAAACTGAACTCTGCAGGGTGGGGAAAGGCTTATAAAGCATTCCCACGCCTTGCAATTAGGTTCAGAGCACTATGATTGATTGGCTTAAACCAACCAATCCGAGTAATCGGACAAGTAAATGAAGAGACCAACCGGTAAGTCTCTACATTTACCTATCACAGAATTCTGATTGGTTGGCTTGAAATTCAACCAATGAGAGTGCTCTGTCATTTTACACAGCATGGGAAAGTTCTTTGGAATTTTTCTCATGCTGTGTAATTTGACTCATCGCAACACTCCAGTTGCTTTCAATCAACCAATCAGTCTTAAAATTCAAATTACACAGCATGGTAAAGTTCCAAAGAACTCCCTGCCGCTTCTATTTTTACCTATTACAAGGAGGGAGCTGCGCACCGGTAGCGCTCTTCTTGTAATAAACCGTATGAAGAGGTCTTTGTTCATTGGTTTGAAATTTCTATTTATTTTATTCGTCTTTCTGACTAATGAATAGATGAAATTCGTGTTTGCATGCCCAGGTGTTTAACTGGGCATGTGTGGGCAGATGACTTGCCCTACAGGGACTTTGGTCTGGGCACAAAGTAAAGATGCAAAAATAGGTAATATGGAGGGCTTAGGGGCATTTGGGGCGGACAAGGGGGATAATTGGATGTAGTTAGGGGATGGGGGGTCACCAGAACCGCTACAGTGTAATGAGGTGTATACAGCATGTTCCTGCAGTATTTGCACTGTAGACACTGAATTTTCAGACAAAATAGTGTTTACATAGTTACATAATTACATAGCTGAAAAGAGACTTGCATCCATCAAGTTCAGCCTACCTCACATTTGTTTTTTGCTGTTGATCCAAAAGAAGGCAAAAAAACCCAGTTTGAAGCACAATTTTGCAACAAACTAGGAAAAAAATTCCTTCTTGACCCCAGAATGGCAGTCAGATTTATCCTTGGATCAAGCAGTTATTACCCTACATTGAAAGATTATATCCTTGAATATTCTGTTCTTGCAAGTATGCATCTAGTAGCCGTTTGAACATCTGTATGGACTCTGATAAAACCACTTCCTCAGGCAGAGAATTCCACATCCTGATTGTTCTTACAGTAAAAAAACCTTTCCTTTGCCTTAGACGAAATCTTCTTTCTTCCAGTCTAAACTCATGGCCTCGTGTCCTATGTAAAGTCCGGTTTGTGAATAGATTTCCACACAATGGTTTGTATTGGCCACGAATATATTTGTATAATGTTATCATATCCCCTCTCAGGCGACGTTTTTCTAAACTAAATAGGTTTAAATTTGTTAACCTTTCTTCATAGCCGATATGTTCCATTCCTTTTATTAATTTTGTAGCCCGCCTCTGCACTTTTTCTAGTGCCATAATATCCTTCTTTAGAACAGGTGCCCAAAATTGCACAGCATATTCAATATGGGGTCTTACCAGTGATTTATAAAGAGGCAAAATTATATTCTTGTCCCGAGAATGAATGCCCTTTTTCATGCATGACAATACCTTACTGGCCTTGGCCACTGCTGATTGACATTGCACATTGTTGCATAGTTTGTTGTCTATAACAATTCCCAAGTCCTTTTCATGTGTTGTTATCCCTAATTCGCTTCCATTAAGGGTATACGTTGCTTGTGTATTCTTTACGCCGAAGTGCATAACTTTGCATTTTTCAACATTAAATTTCATCTGCCATTTGAGTGCCCAGTCCCCCAGTCTATCTAAGTCCCTCTGCAGCAAAGTAATATCTTGCTCACATTGTATTGTTTTACAAAGTTTGGTGTCATCTGCAAACACTGAAACATGACTTTCAATGCGGTCTTCAAGATCATTTATAAACATGTTAAATAGAAGGGGTCCCAGAACAGACCCCTGAGGGACACCACTTGCCACCTCTGTCCAGCTTGAAAATTTACCATTAATGACAACTCTTTGTACTCTGTTTTTAAGCCAATGTTCTACCCAAGAACAAGCATTTTCATCTAGACCGATTTCCTTGAGTTTAAACACTAATCTATTGTGTGGAACTGTATCAAATGCCTTGGCAAAATCCAAATAGATCACATCCACGGCAACACCCTGATCTATACTTCTACTTACTTCTTCGTAGAACGCAATCAAGTTAGTTTGACATGACCTGTGCTTCATAAAACCATGCTTTACGTTGCTGCCTAGTAACACCCCTATGTGCAGTCACTCAGATGGCCACTAGAGGTGCTTTCTACTATTTTTCTGCTCAGTGTGCAGCACTAGCTTTCAGCATCTCCCCCTCTGCATGGATGCTCTGAATTTTCCCCATAGAGCTTGTAATGATTCAATGCATCTCTGTGCGGAGATGCTGAATGGTGTAGCTCTGCATCTTGCTTTGTACGCACAATAGTCTCCTTTAGGAATATAGTCCTGGGATTTGTGAGCTCCTTTCATTTGTGGGCGGCTGCACGTTCTTTAGGCTGATGGAGAGGGAGCTGTAACCTCCCTGCTCTGCTCACTCGCATGCTGCTTAGTGATGTGGAAGCCGGAATATGATTCTCTGGCCCTGGCATCACTAAACGGTGCGCAAGGGAACAGAGCAGAGAGATAACCGCTCCCTCCCCACCCACAATACGCACAGCCGGCTGCCCGCCTTCACTATCCCCCACCTAACAGCCCACTGGATCCAAGGGGAAACCGATCCACATCAGCTCTCCCAAAGGTACGGATGTTTGATGAAATAGAATAGCATTTAAAAAAAAAAAAAAAAACTGGCTTGTAACTTGGGGTTTTTTTTTTAACTGGCTAGATTCAAAGCAAATTTTGTCAAGCCCTGCACTATAGTGTTCCTTTTAAAGGGACTCTATAGTCACCAAAACAACTTTAGCTTAATGAAACTGTTTTGGTGTATAGATCATGCGCCTGCAGTCTCAATGCTCAATTATCTGCCACTTAGGAGTTAAATCACTTTGTTTATTAACCCTAATCACACCTCCCTGCATGTGACTTACGCAGCCTTCTTAAGCACTTCCTGTAAAGAGTCATCTAATGTTTATCCTTCCTTTAAGTTCTATTTAATTTAGATTTTCTTATCCCCTGCTATATTAATAGCTTGCTAGACCTTGCAAGAGTCTCGTGTATATGATTAAAGTTCAATTTACAGGGCAAGAGATAAAATTGTTTAAGGTAAATTACATCTGAAAGTGAAACCAGTTTTTTTTTCATGCAGGCTCTGTCAATCAGAGCCAGGGGAGGTGTGACAAGAGCTGCTTAAACAGAAACAAAGTGATTTGACTCCTAAATGGCAGTGAATTGAGAAGTGAAACCTAAGAGGCATGATCTATACACTAAAACTGCTTCATAAAGTTGTTAAGGTGACTATAGTGTTTCTTTAACCATTGTGTAGAAGAGGCTGTCTAATGTTTGTCAACTTTAGGAGCCAAAATGAAAAGACAACACTACTTCTTTACAGCATTTTTCTTACACCTCAGAACAATGGTAAACATAAAAAGTTATAAAAAAATGTCACAGTATAAGATTGTGGGTGTACTGTTCCTGTACAGCAACCCCAACCCCAACCTTTTTTTACTTCAGTACCCGGTGGCAGCCTATTTCTATAAATTGTAATACTAATATTGGCGAAATGTTTATTAACCACTTAAGGATGGTGGGCGTTCTATGCCGTCCTTGGGGACCCGGCTCTAAACACCGGTCCTATGTACTTACCCGGTCGCCGGTGATCAAGGTGTGGGGACTCACCCGGAAGCCCAGGGAGTCCCCCTCTTTCCTCTCTGGCCCCCCTGGGCCATGTGATCGCAACAATCACATGGACGGCATAGCAGTCCATAGCAATGCCAACAGGGGGAGTGCCTGTAATGACAGGTACTCCCCCTGCTGCCTGAAAAAGATTTAAATAAGTTATAGATACAGTTTAAAAAATATATATATAATAAATATATATATATATATATATATTAAAGTGTGTATGTAAAGGCGGAGCCTGGAGTTGTGGGAGGGGCTAGTGCTCTCTTCCCAGAGTTGCTCTATTTATTTCCTCCTCTCCCTCCATCTCCCCACTAGCGTATCTCTCTTGCACAGAACTTCATTACTGCTGTTTTGAAACTTAACACTGTGCACCATAACGAGAGAACGTATCTCTACAGATCTGGAGAGGCATTACTATACACAAGTCAAGGGGTGTGATTCTGTATTTATATATTTTTGTTTTCAACATGAGCCAAAAACTTACAGACCAAGAGTAGACAAAGAAATAGCTAGCTCTATAAGAAGCACGCGCACCAGGGCTGAATAAGATTGTATCTTACCTCTCTCATTATAAAGGAAACATACACCATTAGCATTATAGACTGGTCATCCCACATTACAATCCAACACTGAACTTGCAGATTTTAGCCTAAATTTTCAACTCTATACAATTCACTGTTAAATGAATAATTTCTAAAGTATAAGAATTGTTCACTGAGAACATAAAAGTTCCAGATTTTTTTTTTTATATATATATATATTTATAAATTAGATATGACGTAAATATTTTGGGGATGTCTTTTCTGAAATCTACCCCTTATATTTCTCCTTATTATTTCCTCTCTCTCCTGCCCACCTTTCCCCCCCCATCCTTATCAACTAAACTTTGACATTTGGTGTCAGTGCATTTGTGGCACAAGTAATTGGCTCTCTCTCACAGACTTGGTACATTGATCCAAGTGCAATTTTGATAAATGCTCCATGTAGTTACGTATTGTTCTCACAAGAGCAGGGGTTTGACTTTTTGTTTAAGTGAGGCTTGTTTGCATAGTGGCCTATAGTGTTCATGGGAGTAGCTGCAGTTTCTCCTAACTACCAAATAATTGCAAGAGTGAAATGAGTATCCACGTGATTTTGGCAATTTTAAACATTTTTTATTTATTTTTACTTGCATATAATTTTATATATGTGTATATGCACTTTTTGTTCCTGCATACGATCAGTAGAAATCTGTGCTATCTCAAAGTTTTTTTAAGAGCAGTAAACAAGTGTCTTTTGCAGTCAAGTAGTAAAGTGTTCTCTTTACTCAAAGACTGAGCCAAAATCCTGCTTATGTTCTTTTCTTTTATAAATTTTTTTTAATAAAAAGCATCCTTTGCAGTCAGGTAGTGAAACCTTTTTGAAAGTGTTCTAATCTTTTTGCTCCAACACTGACTCAAATTCCTTCTTACATTATGTTCTTTCTAAGCGCATTATAAAAAAACGCATCTATCGCAGCCACTTATTAAAAGGTTTGTGCTATGGCGCAAATTTTTTTTCGGGGCTTAAACGATGTTGGTATAAGATGTCAAAGGGTTCCACGGAAAAAAAATTGTGAACCCCTGCTTTAAAGAAACACTATAGCATTAAGACTACAAATCTGTATTCCTTAAAACTATGCATTGTTCTATACAGGTCCTCCCTCAGCACTGCTCATCTCTTCTCCCCAGCAACACCAATGGCTTTCACCCCAATGGTCTGGTCCAGTGCTCTTCATAAAGGAGCACTGGGGACGTGATGTGCATGCACATCCAAACTAAAATCATTGTATTTTCTATGGGCTTCCAGCCGTCACACAGCTACTAGAGGTGGATCCAACCCTGCAATGTAAACATTGCAGTCTTCAGAGTTAAAAGTGCAGGACCAGTGCACCCAGACCACTTCATTAAAAAGTGGCCTAGGTGACTTTAGTGTCCTTAAAGGACCACTCTAGGCACCCAGACCACTTCAGCTTAATGAAGTGGTCTGGGTGCCAGGCCCAGCTAGGGTTAACCCACTTTTTCATAAACATAGCAGTTTCAGAGAAACTGCTATGTTTATGAATGGGTTAAGCCTTCCCCCATTTCCTCTAGCGGCTGTCTCATTGAGGCACTGTGAAAATCACAGTGAGAGCACGTCAGCGTCCATAGGAAAGCATTGTAAATGCTTTCCTATGTGACCGGCTGAATGCGCGCGCAGCTCTTGCCGCGCATGCGCATTCAGCCGACGGGGAGGAGGATCGGAGGAGGAGAGCTCTCCGCCCAGCGCTGGAAAAAGGTAAGTTTTAACCCCTTTCCAGAGCCGAGCGGGAGGGGGACCCTGAGGGTGGGGGCACCCTCAGGGCACTATAGTGCCAGGAAAACGAGTGTTTTCCTGGCACTATAGTGGTCCTTTACTGTACAGTATTCAGAGGCTAATTTTGGTATTGTGGTGTTTGGTTTTTTGTGTACATAAAGTACATTTTATTTTCTTCATGCATTTCTTTGTAGGCACAACCAAAGAAAGAGGAGCCATTGACGCCTGCCTTAAGCCAAAATATTCCAAAATTTTATTTTCCTAAAGGATGTCCAAAAGACAATGTTAACATTGATTGTATCATTTCAAAAATAGAGAAAACCTTCTCTCTTTTTCCCAATGAAAGAGCAACACTCGATGATATGGGCAAAGTGGCTAAGGTATTTAATGGATATAAATGTATGCTGTTTTGTGGTACTTTTATGTATAGGTGTATATTGTTAGACTGTGAACCTATGATTCTCCTATGCAGAGTAGTTTGTGTTAAGGCTGTTCTCCAAGACACACACCCAAGTTTGAAACTCACTTAGGAAAAAATAAATTGTTGTTTTGAGATGTTGTGGGGTTAATGACTGAAAAGTAGGAAACTGCAAGGAAAATAAACAACTTAATTGTGCCATCAGTTGGAAACAAAATTTAAGTGTGTCCAAAATATGACTTCATTTTGCAGATTAAGTTTTTATTTGATGTCAAAAAAGCCACTATAGTCTGAAGTATATATTTTAGAATTGTTTTACATACATGTCTTACATTATTTCTGGGTATATTGTGAATATATGCAGGCTGAAATATTTTGACTTATTGTTTTAAAGACAGATTTAATATCTTCTTGTGAAAAAGTAACTTCCTAACTCATAACAAAGGGATATAAACTTTTTTTTTTTTTGTTTCGTTAATCTAGTTTAATAGTCTGTTATGTAGACAATGCCAAATTTCCCTATTGGGACATATTCCCAGGACATTTTCGAAGACAGATCTGTTTTTTCAATTCAGAGTGCTTGCCCTAGCCTGCTTTTTATCATGAAGCTGTATTCTAGTGTGACATCCACACTCCTATATATGGCAATATGGTAATTATTTGTTTCTGCTGCTAGACCTTTTTGTTTTATTCCTTGCTGTCCCTAAATTCTCTGCCATGGATATTTGATTTATAGCAATACCCAATGACTTGTATTCCTAATACACACAGTTTTGATTTCTCATCAGACAAAATAATTTCTAATGACATCCTAATTCCTCTGCGTAGGATGAGATTCAGCCGATATAAGCCATCTCTCATTTGACACAGTTAAGGCTGATGGGGGGAGACATGCATTATAAAGGAAAAGTGGGGTGGGACAAAAAATCTATAACAAATTTCATCAATTTGTAAATCTGTGTACATTTTTGTTTCCCCCTCCTACATAATTGCAGGCTTGTGAATGTCCTCTTTATTGGAAATCACCGTTGTTTTATGCGGCTGGAGGTGACCGATCAGGATTTGTGTCTGTCCATAAGTTTGTTGCAATATGGCGAAAGTGAGTAATCCCTTTTTGGCTGTGGCTCCATTTTTTTTATTTTGTGGTTGGGAAGATTTAATGTTAAAATAAAGATAAATACATTTAAAAGAAGGAAAAAAGTGTTCTTCCAACCTTCAGAGAAAATAACTTTAACAACCTCTGTTAAAATGAGAGGGTTGAGCTCTACAGGTAAAGTTATAGCTGCACTTTTCTCATAATATTATGCATGTTATCATTCATGGAAATTGGAAATGGTGTGTTGAAGCTCATGTGTATCATAAAGTAGCAAATTCCAGTAACTAGATATAGATATCGATCTCATTGGCATGGTTTGTTCTTTAGGAGGATACTTTTGACATGCTTTATTTTTCTACAGGAATGGGAGGGTGGTATGTATGTGTACCACCCTCACACTCCTGTATATTGTGTGTGTGTGTGTGTGTGTGTGTATTAATACCTTTTTTTTTTTTTTTTTTTTTTTTACCATTTAAACTCCCTTTTTTTGCTAGTGTGACTGTATACCAGCCGTAACGGTCTTACTTATTACCTACTATTTTATAAAGTCATGTGGACCTGCCACTTTTTTTATAATGGCATTTTACTGAACTGTGCACAGTCAAGAGAAGGAAGAGACCGCTTTGTTTCCTGCGTGCCTTTTAAAATGGCAAAATAACCTTTGAAAAAGCCTAGGGCTGGTATTTGTACTTTTGCAAGGTTGGAAAGTGAGAAAATATGATGGTCGAGAGAAAGCACTTTAACAAAGTACTCTGAATCATTGCGTGTTTGTGGCTTAGGTGCTTAATCAATTTTCAACTTTTTTCCTTAACCAGAAACTTACTATCAGACCCTCTATTATTTCCTAGATAACACAACGTATATGTACACTTATTGATATATAATAATAAAATGACTGTTTTTTTTTTTTTTTTTTTTAGGATCTTGCAGACATGCCATGACGATACCGCTAAGTTCATGCAACTCCTAGCCAAGCCTGGATGCACTTATTTGGAGAGAGAGGACTTTGTTCCCTTTTTACAGGTATGGGTTAATGTTCATGTATTACACGCAATTGAGTTCTGTTATACAAATTGTAGATGATGCAAAATTGTGCTTACACTAATTCTCAGATTGCAAATGTATCCCTAATACTTTATTGAAATGTTCTTTTGTGTAGAATTAACCTTTTGCACTAATTTGTCACATTGCTGTGAACAAACTTTGCTGCTTATAAAGCAAAAGCCCACTCTCTCTAGAACATTTGCCAGCAGTGATCTCAGCGGAGGAGAAGGGCATTGAAAAAACAGAGCTGTTGCCAGAGCAACTTATTGTGTTTTCAAAATCTTTGTATTGAGGTTGTATGTAATTAAAGGTTGCTTTTCTTTCTGGTACTCAAATGCCTTTTATGTAAATGGTAATGCCATACCTGTAAAAATCCTCCTCTTGCAAGACTCCCTTCAAGTTTCTTGACCTTTGCCATGTTTACCCCTTGGATTACTCAGTTTAATGTGCAGTCATTTTAGGCTGTCTTGCATGATAGGATTTTGGGGGTACCTGTTGAACGAGAATGCATGAAATTATTGGTATGGTCCGACTTTAGATTTGATGCATTTTAGCCCATGTAACGATTTTTCACATTTTGTTGAAGAGGCCGACCTGGCACGAAACATGTTTTTACTCACCTTTCTGCATTGTAATTATTTTATTTATTTATAAAATATTTTGCCAATAAGGATACCTTGAGATTTCTCTCATTTTCAATTATGTCCTCAGTCCACAAACATTACATTGTTACATTAGGGAATAATATAAAAAAATGTGAAATATTAAAATAAAACTATAAATTTACACAGAACAGGTAAGACCTCTAATCAACCGTTATTACAGGTACATTCTGTATTGGGTTATGTTGACAAGGATCTCTTAAACTCACATACACCATCAAATTTTCCTCCAGTATAAAATCATTTATCACATTATTGAGGTGCGCTGTAGAAAAATGACGATCGAGCCGCTTTATTTTTGTATTGTGGTATACTAAAAGTGCTGGTACTGTATCGGACATTAAATGAGGTGGGAAAATCTGGGGAGAGCACTCTATTCTGGTAGGGTGGGAGTTTACCAGAAAAGCTCCTGAGCACAAAGCTGGAAAGGTGAAGAGTGCATCTGAACTCCAGCGATAGCCAGTTTACCTCTTTTAACATGTCACAGTGGTGGGTCATGTATTTATATTCTAGCACAATATTTTTAAATGTTGAAGCTCTTTAAGTGACAAAGATATGTGCTGATAGCTGTACAATTTTTTTTATTTTTTTTTTATATTCTAGCAAAAAAAAAAAAAACCTTTTTCTTTAAGCTTGATGATGAAATGATTTTAAGGTGTGTGTGTGTGTGTGTGTGTATATGTCCTATTTTTATGGTTTCTAAACACTTATGGGAAAAAAATAAACATTTTGTTTTTTGTTTTGCTTGTTTCTTGCATTGGCTTGCTGCGAGTAACCTGACTTCTTAAAAACAAGAAATTGCGGGCAAGTTCTCATACAGTTTAATTTTATTTTTATCAGGATGTGGTAAACACTCATCCACATTTAACATTTTTGAGAGAAGCTTCAGAATTTCATTCTCGCTACATCACCACTGTAAGTACAATTTATTTTTCTTTCTTATATCTTATACCATCTAGTAGTAGTATTCTGTGTTCACTGAATCCTATTGGCATGATAATGTGTGGTCACGTGAAATGGGGATTCTAATTCTGTTATAATCAAACCTACAACAGGCCCCACATATTTCAAATATTTGTTTCATTCTCCTAGAATTGAAGCAGCCTTCGGCACTCTAGATTTTGTGGATTACATCTCCCACAATACTCCTACAGCCATCATGTTGGCAAAGCTTTCTGGGAGATGTAGTCCACAACGACTGGAGTGCCGATGGATTGTTATCCCTGCTCTAAGCACCAAAACATTAAATCTTAATGTATATCTTGCCATTTCTGAGAAATGTAAATGTTTTTTTGGCCAAACAATGACATGACATCAGCTTCACCCCTTAGACCTTCGAAGGTCCTCACCTCAGTACTATGTATTTGACATGCTTAAAATTGCCTCTGTTGCTATGACATGAGTGCCTCATTTTCCCTGACTCTTTTCTTGCCTATATCCCAATGTTTTATGATCTCCTAAAAACAAAACTCAAAGGAAAAGATTTAAAAAAAAAAAAAAACAGCTTGCTTTTGACTCGTAAAACCATAATGATTTAATGATTGATCTATTTTGAGGACAATATATTTTGTTACAAGAGTAGATTTACAATTCTAGATTTGTTACAATAATCCTTGTCGAAATGTAGTGGGGTGTCTCCACAGTTGTTACCAAATAATTGCAAATTGGCCAAAGATTCACTGATCTTTGTTTAGGAATTTGATGACCATTGGATGTTATAACTTGACCTTCCTGCCCATTTCCAAGTCTGATGGATATTGAAAAGCATTTTAGTACTGGGTGAAATTTTTAGTTTTTTGTATTCCATGCAGCAGGACTTTAATCGTTCATTGTAGCCCTTAAGTCTTTTTATTAATCTACCTCCTGTTCATTTACTCTTTGTATTTTTTCAGAATTTACGTCATACACCAGGTGATCCTGGCACAGCCAGAATAAACCCAGTAAATTAATATAATCTCATGGTGTCACATGTGCAAGTGCTGAGTTTGTGGCCCAAGTTAGGAAAAATCTTGGGCCAGCAGAATGAAACAATAGTTTTGTTTTTAATAATCTCCCTGTTCATTTACTTTTTTGTATTCTAGAAAGTTTGAAAATGGGGTTTAGAATTATGTTTGAACCCTCGAAATGTCATTAAGAGTCTTGTACTACTTAAGGAATTTGCCGTATTAAAGGGACACTATAATCACCCAGACCACTTCAGCCCGTTGAAGTGGTCTGGATGCACTGTACCTATTGCACTTAATGCTGCAATGTAAAACATGACCGTTCCAGAGAGATTGCAATGTTTACATTGCAGCACTAACTCTGCCTCTAGTGGCTCTCTTCCTGGCACTTATAGTATCACATTAACAAGTATACCCCTGTCCAGGCTGTTGTCATCGCACAATGATGTACTGGGTGCAGTGACATGATATGGGCATCTGCTGATTGGCATTCGATTGAAAGTACTTTTGGGCATTTTTTTCATAACTTGGGCCAGCACAATGAGGTTAACTTAACTTACTTGGTTTATTCTGGCTGTGCCTGGATCACCTGGCATATGTCAATTCTGAAACTGGATCCATTTTAGTTGTGTATTTTGTAAAAATGAAAATCCAGCGCACACCCATACAAGGGAGTGCGCTGGATTTTCATTTTTACTGTACTTGGCTCTCAGCAGCACCCCATTTAAGCATGTTCAGGTGAGTGCAGCCAACCCTTTGTTTTCTCACAGTTGTGTATTTTGTAACACCGCGCCCCTCTAATAACGTGCCTCTTATATCAGATCTATTCTTGTGTCCATTATATTCACAAGTGTTTGTGTTACACTTTAAAGTTTATTTTTTATTAGAGTTAAACCTCTCTATTTTGTAGACTGTTTGGCAGTGCTGCATAGTTAATCTCCATTGGGTAACTAAGAGCTGCTGCAATAATACAAGGTTGGTACACCCTAATTGGCTTTGTGACTTCTTTATAATGTCTTGATTTTTATCCTTTAGGTCATTCAGAGGATATTTTACACTGTGAATCGATCGTGGTCAGGCCGAATAACGTGTGCTGAACTAAGGAAAAGTAACTTTTTACAGGTGAACATAATCGGTGCTGCTTAGTTGGTATTCTTAGTTTTTAGCATAATAGAGAAATTGACATTGCCCAATCAGGATTTTCACATCAATGTAAAAGACACAGGACATGGTGCCAGAGTAGTAAAGTCCACCTGAAATTGAAAGGATAGGAAATTAGTCTTCCATCAGGTATGGTTTCAGATGTGTAAGCATTAAAAATAAAAATAAACTTGAACTTCCTTTTCCCTGCTGACAGTCACTGTTTAACATTCCTGCATGATAGAAGTGAAAGGAAATATGTTACAAAATGCATATTTTAATGCATTTAAACAATGATGTTAAAAACTATGCATTAACTTTTTGAAGTTAAGCTGAGCTGCCCTCTATTCATACAACACGTGCTTGTATTAAGAGGGTGATATTTAACAGAGAACCAGCGTGGAAACAGGAAGCATAATATATAACATTATATGAACACTTGGCCAATAAACAGTTTAGTGAATGTACGTTGGGAATCTGTAAGGTTATTTATATTGCTGGCACATAATTACTGGATTAATTAAAATTTAAATGCAAACAATGTTTTGCTAAAGAGTTTTGTGTGTCTATCTTATAGAACACTGCAGGCTGCTGGATCTCCCCACCTTCTGCATTTCCTAAAGAAAACACCTTGTTCAAACCTAGCTAAAATAAGAAAGGTCTACATGGATATAACTTTTCAGGAAGCGTGAAGGAAAACTATGATAGACTGGTACAGCAGGTGTGACTAGGGCAGAAGAAATTCACAACTCAGGGCATCATCTATACACCACCATGACTTCATTAAGCTAAAGTTTGTTTTAATGCTTAGCTTGACCCTTTAACCGGTGATGCTGTTACGGCGGCATAGTATGCTGGAACGGTTTGTGGCCCGAGATACTTGCGTTACCCGATAACCGCAGGAACTGCCAATCCAGCTCTTCCTGGCCATGTGATCGCAATGACACCTGGGTTGTTTACTTTTGCAAATGGGGGGATGGGAGGGGTAGAGGGTGGTACTTTTGTACTAGTAAGATCTCTCTGAACAAATATGAATGTTAACTTTGAACAGGGTTTATGACTAATTGGCTTTGGCAAATGGTATGCCTTGATGGGGTAATTTGCATTCCTGGGCTGCCATATGGTCTCAAAGGCAACATATGCCAATCAAACTTCAATGTGCAAAAACTGAAATGGGCAAGCTCTTTATTTGACCCTGTAGTTTTCCAAAACACCTTAAAACTAAATAGATATTGTTGTACTCGTGGGACATCACAGCATGTAAATATGTGTAATTCTGGCAGTAAAAGCTAACCGTATTTTGACATTCACAGTTAGTGCCATGCAGAACTTGGAAAATAGTTTATTCATTTCTCTCACTTTTTTAGATTTGATTCATATTAAATAATTTAATATATAAAGATCTCATGTGAAATTAATCCCGTTTCTCCTGAACAAAATTATATATAATTGTGGGTTCACTTAATTTGAAATAGGTACATTATGGTTGAACTCAAGAACTAGGTTTTGTTTTGATCATAATTTCTGTGCCTCTTGCAGCCATATTGTAGTTTGTCATCTGCTCTGTGAATATTGCACAAGAAGGTCTGAATAGTAGTTTTGGCTAGCTCAGTGCAGAGGTGAATTTTTTATTTTTTTATTTATTCTATTTTAAAGTATGAAGTTGTATTCATGACTGATGCACATAGACCTCTGCAAAGTACCTTTTAAACCTTAAAGTCCCTTTTACTTTTTACTTGGTGCCTGCTGGCCAAGTAATCATCTTGCATGGGGACCACAGACCTCTGCATGTAATCAAGTCTACATACATACAGATATACAGAGTTCCAATTGCTTGCACTCCTGGATTAATAGTAAAAAGCCAGGTGCTTAACAGCCAAATAATAGAAATAAAGTAATGATAGCACCCCAAGGATTTCAAAAATATTGTGAAAAAACTTTTAATTCAGGCATCTGCCACAGAAGATCAACGTTTTAGTTCTCTAAGGAACTATCTTCAGGATATACAGATATAAAGTATATGCTCCCAGCACCTGTTACATTGCTTGGATCTCTACTGGTGAGACTGCCAGGAGACTATATCACATGCAAACACTGCTTTACACGTGCTCGCCAAAGCAAATTAGGGCGCAATCATAGCCATGATGCAGACCAGGCCACCAGCAATGCACAACATGGATAGGTATTCCTAGGACTTGGACACGCTTGTATATTGAGTCCTGCAGCCCACTTTTAAATGACCTGATATGACATTGACTTGTTGACTTGTTGTGGAGGACTGACACAGACGAAGTATTGTCTTATATCCAGGTTCTCATGTTCAGCATCATGGAGAGGGTATTAGTGGGCAACGCCATATTAAGTTACCGGTAATTTAATACAACAAACTAGAGTCTTTCAGTGAAAGCGAAATCGGTTTCAGGAATGAAGCATAGTTGCAAAAAACAAATGCCAACAACCTAAAAATTTTATTAAGCAAATTTCTCCACCTCCCTAAAACCTGTTCTGCAGCAGAGGCAACATTCTATAGTTTTTATTTTTTTTACATTATATGTACCTGAATACCAAAACACTTCACTAAATGCATAATAATGTGAACAAATCTGAGCACAAGCCCAGTTAAAGTAATATCTATTTAAAGTTTATAAGTTGGTAGGATGGTTCTACAGCAAGTAATGCAGATGCATGAGGCAAAATAATTGCTGTTTACTATGTGGGCTCTGTTGGTATATTTAAACAGGAATTAATTTCCGTTGCACCTAATGAAATCTGTTGGGGCTTATGTCTTTAGGAAGGAATGGAAAGCCGCACACTCTTGTGCATATGAATAATTTTTACTCTGCAGATCTACTGACTGTTTTATGATTCTTTGTTTACAGCATGTTGCGTTGTTGGAAGAGGAAGATATCAATCAGTCAACAGATTACTTTTCTTATGAGCATTTCTATGTCATCTATTGCAAATTCTGGGAACTTGACACAGACCATGACTTGTACATTGATGAACAAGACCTTTCCAAGCATAGTGATCATGGTATGAGAGTGTGTTTTAGTACATCTATGAATGCAAGATATATTATGAATATATAATACCAATACTGTAAATACAAGAGCTCACAATTTGAGTTGTAATAAGATTTAAATGGATCCTATTTTGATATTGATCAACAAAAGGGAATAATCTAAACTTTGGTCCAAAAGAGGACTTGTAGCTGTTACATCTTATGCACTTCATACAACCAAAATATACCGTGTGACTTGCTAAATTTCATTGAAATTGTTTATGAAGAGCTGTTGGATTAATATTTGACATCCCCACTTTATTACAGCAAGTAATCTCTGGATATTAATAGCTGAAGTTTAAATTTAAATAAGTTTTGAAAACTACTAGAAATGCAGAAACATTTGCAAAGTAATATATCTTTCTTTTTTTTTTTTTTTATATAAAAGCTTTCACTTTGTATTTGGCACTACAAAACAAGAATTTCAATTGAAGTGTTGAATGTACTGCTGGAATGTTGGCGATTAAAGAGTCTCTTTGACGTTCAGCTGTGCTGGGTTTTCCTTTTCTGGAATACAGTTTAGGAGTTGGTGGTTCCCTGTGTAGAGATGTACACTGCCTGGCCAAAAAAAAGTCGCCACCAAAATAAGTCACACATTCTCTAATATTTTATTGGACCGCATTTAGCTTTGATTACAGCATGCATTTGCTGTGGCATTGTTTCGATAAGCTTCTGCAATGTCACAAGATTTATTTCAGTCCAGTGTTGCACTAATTTTTCACCAAGATCTTGTGTTGATGATGGGAGAGTCTGACCACTGTCCAAAGCCTTCTCCAGCAGATCCCAAAGATTTTCAATGGGGTTGAGGTCTGGACTCTGTGGTGGCCAATCCTTGTGTGAAAATGTCTCTTGCTCCCTGAACCACTCTTTCACAATTTGAGCCCAATGAATCCTCGCATTGTCATCTTGTAATATGCCCGTGCAATCAGGGAAGAAAAAATCCATTGATGGAATAATCTGGTCATTCAGTATATTGAGGTAGTCCTTTGGGCACATAATGTTGCTGAACCTAGACCCGACCAACTGCAGCAACACCAGATCATAGCACTGCCCCCACAGGCTTGTACAGTAGGCCTAGTGCATGATGGCACGATCAGAATTTTTCTTCCAATCACCTCTTTCTTGACTATGGTTCCCCACTGTCTTTCCAGTTTTTAATTTGTTGAACAGTTCTTAACCCAATTTTAGTAGTTTTTGCAATCTCTTTAGAGGTTTTCTCTGCTTGATGCATGCCAATGATTTGACCCTTCTCAAACAGACTAACCTCTTTTCCACGACCACAGGATGTGTGGTTTAAGAAATGAGAAGCTACTCATTGTATCAGTTGGGGTTAAATAACTTGTTGCGAGCTGAAAGATAATCGCCCATGCACTAACTAGCCAATAGGAGGCTCTTACCCATTTGCTTGGTTAAATCCAGGTGGTTTTTTATTTTTATTTTTTTATTTTTTTTTTATTTATTTTTTGGCCAGGCAGTGTATTTGTGTAAGTGTGGGTTTTTTTTTTCTTTTTTTTTTTCTTGGATGTACGTTTTCAGATTTTTGCAAAACAAAGTATAAGAATTTGAATTCGCTATCCAATAATGGTTTGATATAAAACACACAGATCTACACCATATCCTTATAGAATATAATAACAGTAATAACTATACAATGGACCTATAAAGTATAGCACAAGCAATGTCTAATGCTATATCTATATCTCTCTAAATTGCACAGATTAGCAAAAGATACTTTATACACATAAATAAGAAACGATGGGACTACCAAAGTAAAAACAAGCGCATATGATTAGTCTTCAGGATTACTGCTTTTAATACAATAATCGTAGGTAAAAGTCCATAGTCCCCAATTATAGTTGGGAA